AGAAGATCTGCGGGGATTTATCCTTTTGGGGTTTTTCATACCTCACTGGGGTCTACCTTATGCACAGAGTCCGAACTCAAAAGCGACGGGGCAGTTGGTGGCCTTCCCTCGTTAGAGAGCATTTCAAAATTCTCTACTCTCTTTTTTCTTCTTTACTCCTTTTCGACTTTATTCCTTTACTTTTTTCCTTCTTTGCCCTTTTACTGCTTTTCTTCTTTACTGTTTTTTTCTTTTTCTGGTTGTGCACTTTCACAATTACCTGACAACTGCACCTAACAACTGAGGAGTGCTAAGGCTTCTGGAAAAACGTGCATAGCTTCCGAACCATGGATTTCTAAGATGTCCCTTAGATCCAGTTTTGTAGAGGACACTTCGGACTATATATGTATGAAAACAAATCCATAGATTTCTATGCGAGCTTTCAGAGAACCGAACTGGTTTTCCACAGATCTCCTGAAAAAACGATCTTTAAGATTTTTCCAAACTCGTTTTTGCTTATGAAAACATAACATCAGATCTTGGTTAACGAATGATGAAAACCGCAAGTCTCTAGCTTTTATTCCTCTTCAGTTATTCGAAACATAACACCGTATTTTGGCGCAGATAATAGTGCAACAAACATTAAAAAAGAAAGAAAAACGAACGGAATATTCACATAGTAGAGATTGCCAGTCCTGCTCTCGCAAACTGTTGACAAAAAAGAGAAAACCAAACTAACTTTCTTAATCTGAAATATGAAAAGCTTTGTTTTACTAAGCTCAGCAAATTCGTTTTCGACAAAGTACTGATTTTTCAGACAAAATAACATTTCTTTTCTCGCTCGGTCGGTCAAATTAATTTTCTTTCAGCCGGCCGGTCGTAAATTCTTTACCAGACCGGGCCGGGTCGGACCGGATAGACCGGTTGCCGGTTACATCTCTGTTCTGTTCCATTTATCTGTTCGCCAGGTGTCAAGACAATGAGAGTAGAAGTAGGCCCTTTTGCAAGTGCAATAATTTCCTCGAGTTGATTTTGTTTTTGGAGTCAACATCTGTGGCTAGGAGTACACAGGATCCGATTTTTCCACTTTTGCTTTGAAAAGTTTTGGTTGCCCTTGGAAGTCAAAAACTATCACATTGAACATTAGCTTCAATTTAATACGGATCTGAGCGCTCCAGCTCTTAAACTGACGTAGACTTTGAAGGAATTCAGAAACTGTGAAGGTGAATATCATTTTCTAGAAACAGCTGCGTGAGCGTATGGTGCGTATTTTAAGACTGAACCATTGTAAGTTCTGACTGAAGCATCATCCGAAGCTAGAAGAAGTGTTATTTTAACCACAGATGTTTGCTTTACAAACTGCATCACTGAATGTTCCGAGTTTTCGTTAATATGGCACAGTTTTACAAAATAAAGATTTTCAAGGCTTTCAAAAAACTTTTCAAACAAACAGAGCCCAGAGCTTCACAACATCTCAGATTAAAGAGAAAAGTGTGCAAACGATTTTGTGACGTTCCCGCAGTCTGCACGTTCTTCTGTTCGAAACCTATGACTAGGCATGCACCGGTTATAACCGATTAAAATTGTGCACTTTTTTACGTAAAAAGTTCTTTCCAACGAAAATTAATTCTCGAAAATTTTTCAACAAGATGAGCTATGGCGGAAGCCTTCATGTTTTGTATTTCTGGCGCACTCGTTTTTCGACGATTGATTTCAAATACATTATAGAGGAGATTTTTTCTTTTGAGCCTTTTCAGACTCGAAAAGATGCAAATGTGTGAGTCTCTTCTGAGTTTTCCTAAAAGTTCATAGAGAAATTCCATAATCATTCCACAGGAGATGAATGTGTCAGCTAACTTGCTGGGATCGATAAAAGAACTTTTGTGAATTATCTTGATATTATTTCTTGATAAATCCTGTAGCAAAACGATGAAACTCATACAGTTCAATCACTTTTCTTATCGTTTTTCTCGAGAAAAATCTTTTGAAAACTTAGTTCTTGCCAGATTTTATTGTCCAATATTACGAGCACTACTCAGATCCCGAGTTTCCTAGCAGATTTCTGGCGAGACCGCTATGCTCACATTGTTTTCAGTACTTCAATTAGACAGTTGAGCGCGAACCCGCTGAAAACTAGAGCATTTGTTGCAAACATCCAGAAATTTGATCTTGAAATTCGGTATCTCGATCCTTAACCAGTTTCAAAATCTGAATATTTCTATAAATGTTGACCAGACAGGTTCTCGGTTGTTTCGGCAATAAATGAGAGGATGTTTAGCGAGTGTTCCTTCTCGTCCTCGACTTCCTCCTTTTAACACTGCGGCGTTCGATGAAAAAATATTGACTATTGCTATGAAAGAGCGAGCTCATCCTTGAAACATATATGAACGATCAAAATTTAAAATTTGTCTGCGGACGACCCGTGTTTATTTAGGCGGTCCGTTCGCGAAGTCTCTCTTAATGTTTTCCGACAAACTGGAGAAAAGGTTGTGCGATAAAACATCTGCGAACAGTGCTTGTCGTTATTCATCCACTCAATGGAAAGAATGAGTCAGTGAAAAAGAGAACAGAACGGTATCTGCCTATCGTCGGCTGCTACGCATTTGAATTATATTGTCTTTTGATTATTTTTCCTTCTTGCTCTGCGCACTCTCACCTTATCGGATGGTATACAATCCAAATTCTTGCATTTTGAATAGAGACAAACTTGTTTGGCCGCATAAAAAGGAGCAAACACTCACACGTGCTTGACAACAACTGTCAACTACAAGTAAGTATTGAAAATTATATGCTTAAGTAGATGTTCAGCAAATTTGTTTTAATTAGACGGCGATAAGCTTACTTCTTTATTCATAACGTCAACTTTTAATAATGATGCATACGTAAGATGCTTTCGTGGGAAGCGTGCGGAAATAAGTGCAGCGAATAATCTACTCTTAGACTGTGGATATTCTTGGAAGTGGATATTCTGAAAGCTGGTTTCAAGCTACACAACTTTGCTTCAGAACACATCTCAAAAAAAGCTTTCATTGAGCAGAAAAATGCAAAACGTAGACATCACTGGAAAAAAAGTCCATTTTCGGTAATTCCGTAACGGCCGTTATTTTTTTAATAACTCTCTATGGGATGATCCAAACTCAACGAAATTTTCGGACGTGATAAAACTCGGTATTGTCTACCTCTGGTAAAGGCGTCATTGCATTTGGATCATTCTCAGAAAAGTTATGGCACGTGAAAGTTGAAAAAAAGTAATTTCGTAACATTTGGACAAGCCATATACAGAAAGAAAGAAAAAGATGACACATACGTCAAATCTGTATGTAGCCTAATAAGACAACGAAATAGAAAAGAAAAGAAAGATATGCTTAGATACGACAGACAAATACGAATGTCCTTGGATACGACTCACGAATTCGTCTATCGTATCTCTTTTTTTTATGTCACACTTTTCTATTCTGCAGCTTAGCGTTGTTTTGGCTGTAATTCTAATATGTAAGAATAAAACGGTGAATGAAAACAATGCTGAACTGATCTTCCCACGTTCTTCTTTACACAGTGAAACAGAACGAGAAAAAAACTATGCGTCGTGCAAAGATATCACGTCAAATGTGAGGCGATATCTGTATACGTTCTATCTTGTGCGAAAAGAGATATCTCGTTATTTGCTATAGTCCTGATGAAACTCTCGCAAAATCTTTCTTCCCATCCAAACACATGCGATAAACATCTTACAATGGAAGATCGTCAAGTGTTGAGCGCTGATCGAGCTGATATTTTGCCCATAAATAGGACTCGATGAGACTAGTAGAAGTCTAAACGGATTCGTGCGTATGCCCTACCCATCTAGAATTATGATCCCTTTAGTGAGTTTTCGTCCTCTGGGTTGGTATTCATAAGAGATCGTTTTTATGAGCTGTTGACCTGAAATTTTGTCCATAGATAGACCGCGAGACCATTAGAATGTCCTAAAAATTTCAGCTCAAACGAATGTTTTCTTCTCGAGATATTGAATGCTCAAGAAAAGTCGAATCTGAGCATCTTCCTATGAGAGTGAACTATTATTTGGTCATTCAATATCTCGACAAGAGAACATTCATTTGAGCTGAAATTTTTAGGACACTCTAATGGTCTCGCGCTCTGTCTATGAACAAAATTTCAGGTCAACAGCTCGTAAAAACGATCTCTTATGAATACCATACCTGGAGGACGAAAACTCACTAAAGGGATCATAGCTCTAGATGGGTAGGGCATACGCACGAATCCGTTTAGACTTCTACTAGTCTCATCGAGTCGTATTTATGGGCAAAATATCAGCTCGATCAGCGCTCAACACTTGACGACCTTCCATTGTTAGATAGTAGTAGCCTTGTACTTTTTCTAGATCGATTTCTCCATTCGTAGAAAAATAAACATTTACTAATTGGTTGTTTCCTTCTTAGGGACAGCTATTGGTCGGGCTCAGCCATTTAGGAGGATACACCCAGTGTACATTGAACCTTCAGAATCCACCATTTTCCCTCGAATAGCATGCTTTTTTAAAGTTCTATGCCAACAATTATTCGAAGAATCAGAAATTGATGAAACAGAAAAAAACGAAATATTTCAATGCCACGTCACTAGAAGCGTTGCACTCCTATTGAAGGAATCCATGAGATTCGTTGTTTTCCTCTCACTCTGCTTTCTCACGGGAATCTATAAGAACGTCACAACAGAGATAGAAACAGCAAGAAAACTGCAACAGTATGCAGTCGTCATCACTATTCTTTTTTCAATTACAAGGCGTGTCTATACACATACATGGCTCACGACTGTGCTCGTGACGAGCGCTTTCTTGACGCCGACAAAGAACCTACCCAAACGCTAATGCCCATCGAAGGCTATGAGAAGAAACCGTTGCTATCGCTTAAAGAGGCTGTCCTAGCAATTAAAACATTGATTCATAATCTCGATGCAATGGTATGGACGGCAGAACGAAACTCACGTAACCCGTCAGATGGTCTTATCCTTGATGAATCGGCTGCTATTCATCTATATACGATGCAGTGGCCCCAGCCCCATTCTAGTCTTTATACTGTGCTCAACGAAACACTTCGTTCTGCACAGAGAGATAATCTCAAACCATGGTTTTCTTATCTTAAACTCTTTCTGACCGCTTTGTACAAACTGCCTTCAGTAAAGAAAACAATTTGGCGCGGTATTCGTGGCGATGTAAGTGATCAATATGATGACGATCATATATGGTGGGGTGTGAGCTCGTGCACGGCGACAATGCAGGTGATGGAACGATTTGTTGGTCGTTCAGGTGTGCGTACCTTGTTCATGATAGAATGCATCAATGGCAAAGCTGTGCGATCCCATTCTTTCTATAAAGAGGAGAATGAAATCCTTTTGATGCCAGGTACTTATCTGCGCGTAGTTGACAAATGGAGTCCAGCGGAGGACTTGCACATCGTTCATTTGGAGGAGGCACCCGCTCCGTATCAACTTGTCACACCACCTTTTGAATCAATCTCGTTATCCAGCGATATACCTCCACTATACATGCCTGTGGTCCCGAAGAGCCAATCACACAGTCATGTGGAATCTGCACAATCACATGGTAAGATGTTTTGTGCATTTTTCTTGTTTTTACTAAAACAGCTGTCGATAGTCAAAATTTTTACAAGTGCGACACAGAAAAAAGACATAAAATTACAGTTCCGTCTTAGGTAAAAATTGTAGATGTCAGATAAGAACAAATGACGCCAAAGCCGCGTGCGATTATTTTTTCTTGGATTATGGTAAAGTATGCGAACACCATTAGTGCGAGCAAATTTTACTCTAGATATACCTACAGATAGAAATCGTTGAAATCTTTTCTACGTTGTTGAAGACTACTATAATTAGATGAAAGCGACTGGTCGTGCTGAGTCAGCGAGTGCAAAGCGCGAGAGACCGACACATAATTGTTTTTATCATTCTTGCTGATGCTATCGTTTGGCGTATTTCACTTTTTTGTGGCGATCTGTACCAGCTGCTTCAGTAAAAACGAACACTTATAGCATTCGATAGAGGACACTTGGAGGTATTTTTAGAGATGAAATAATCAAAACCGAAGAAAAGATTTTTCGAAATCGGGAAGAAGAATTTAACTTAATAAATTTCAGTTTTAAGCTTCAAACATGAATCTTTTCAAAGATTTAATATTCCAACTTCATTCAGCTCTATTTACATGGTTCGTAGGATTTTTCAATCAAACTCATATTTACTTCTCTAGGTCTCACAACATCAACGAACCTCCGTCCTGATCATATACCACCAGGCCAAAGTGTCGATTTATTCCATGAAATTGTATCAGAAAATTTTCATGATGTCGATGTATCGATTGCTGGTCACGTATCAGGTGCATCTCAATTTGCTAAACCGAAAGGATACCATCATTTGTCGAATATACCTCAACTGTCAAGTAAACCAGCCTATGCTGATAGTGATGTTGAAATAAATTCAGATTCGTCATTTTGGTCCGATGAAGAAGAACAAGAGCAAATGGAACAAGGTAATCGACGAAATGTAGTACCATATCGTCGACAAGTATCACGTTATCTTTCAACGGTCAATCGTTCTTTACTTGATCGACCGAGTGATCATGTTGCTGATTTTTATATTTCACAACTTAATCATAGTGTACAAGGAAGTGACCGACATGTTGAATCAATTGTACATGATATGGCTGAAACGGAGCATGTTCGCAATAGAGAATTTGTTGATGAGACACGTAATAAACTAGGATTTAGTCTATCTGCTGAATATTTGTATTAAATACGAAAGAAACATTTACGATGTAAACGACCATTTACACCACCAACTTCATTTACTGCTGAAGGTATTGCCGATATTTATAAACTAGGGATGAGGGTGCCTAACGGTAAAACTACCGCGACCGATTTCGACCTTGCTTATAGGTCAACATCAGATGGTATTTCAGATCTCTGGATACATTCGGGTTCTGTCAGATTCGATTCGATCATGTTTCGACAGCAGATTCGGATTCGATATTCGAAAACGTTCGTTATTCTATACGTCGACCGACTATGGTGAACATAGGAATGGACACAACCGTTGTACCTTTGTGGTAGATTCACTGTTTTGTCGTTCCAGTTTTTACTATTTCTTTCTTGCTAGTCCTGGCACAAGCGTGCCTGCGGAGTCTGCATTCTCCGTATTTAGCTATCTCGTATTTAGCTATCCGTATTTAGCCTTTCGGAAGAAAGAAAGGCTCTAGTGTCACGCCCAAAAACCTCGCTATCACTGTTTTCTTGGAAGACAGACTCGCTCACGAATAGTGCATTATGATTCACTCGATCAATTTATTTGTTTTAAATTTATTGTTTTATTAGCCTATACATTTTGCAACAAGAAGTTGCGTTTTTATACACTATGTAGTTCATTATCTTTCTATCTCTCGCTGTTCACAGGATGAATACAGGACAAGCGAAAGCACATCAGGTATGCACGTTAACAACTATTTTCACCACAAGAAAAATATTTAGAACTGGAATGGCTGATCACTGAATTAGCCAGAAAAAACAACCATTGTGTTCATTGCTGTTTTCAAGTGAACACGAACTTGGTGAATTGTAATTTATGGGTTGTCTCTTTGAGCATAGAATTTCTGACTAATTGTTCAGTAGCAAATATTTCGATGCCGTCGCATGAGAAGAATTCGATAGATGACCGTTTAGTGAATTGATACTACTTATTAGCAGTCAGCACGACGGATTTTGAAATTGCCATGATTAGTCGCCCGTCAGAAGTCTTTGGCATTTGTCTTCTCTTTTGTTGAACGAGTCGCTCTGCAGCTGTGGCAAAGTCCATATCGGGCTCTTGGTTCGATACATGAAGACCCGAAATGAAATTGATCTTGTTCAGGATTTCATAGCATCAAGAAACCGATAAAAAGAGAAGATGGAAGCAGCCGCAATCTCTTGGGAGTTTAACCCCAGTGTTCAAACATATAATTTTGAGTCGCCTAATGTGCTTATCTTCTTCAGGTCGTCCTCGATACATTGCCGAATAAGACCGTATGCACTGGCGTGCCGTTCGTCTTCTTCTAAGTCGTTGACTTTCAGTGAATGAGCCGAAATCGAGACTTGGTCGGCAATGATTGTCTGTACCATTATAATATCAATGTTCTTCAATTGGCGAATATCTTCGAGCCATTGTGGGACGACGAATCTGATACAAATAATTAATTTCATTTATTTGATGCCAATTGTCTTAAATAGACGGTAACGTACTTGGCAAGAACCTAATCTATTCCTCCATCAAAGTCGAATTAGGTGATGAGAGTTCCTTCTTTCAAATTAGTACTGCATGGCACATATACGGGGCACTACAAAGTTTTTTTCACTAGGTTCTTCTAAAAGTTCTAGTTTGAGTTCAAGTATTCTGTTATAATGCTTGGACATATTTAAGATTATGTGCAAAATTTCAGACTTCTAAGTCCTGTACGTTGCTGTGGTCCGTCATTTCTTTTACGCTAGGTGCATGCAACTCGCTAACAGATAATCCATAATAAATGAGAGAACTTTGCATTTCATATTTTGATCCCTAAATACGTTTTATTAAAAAACAAAGTATACCAGAAGATGCAGCATAAAAAGCTCTACAATTTAGATAGCATGAGACAATATTTTAACTTTCTACTAGACCGCTTAAACCATCATGCAACACGTGCTCGGCTTTACTTAACTCTGAATACTGGACCCAAGCTAAACTTGATACTCTACTCATGCTGGACATTTGGCATTAAAAACTTCTATGAAGCAAACTCGAAGATTTGTCTAAGATAAAATAAAACTCGTTCTTCATCTAATTCTCTAACCCCATGTAAAAAGGTCGATAGGCCATACGTGCATAGTTTTGCACAAATTTTGAAAAATAACCATGCATAGTTCGTTCACAGGACCCTGTGTATAAAACAGTGCTATGTGCAGTTATGCATAAAGCTTGTTTATCCATAGAGAAACCATCTATGACTTTCCGTTGCCAAAATGCGTCCCATACTATGCATAATGCACAGTGGGCATTTCCTCATAGAGCAGGCGGCATTTTTTGAATCCAAAAGCACTTTTTTATAGGTTTTTGCATACGGTATTTCCAGCAGTGTGGCAAAGGTGAGTCGTGGAAGGTTTTTCAGCGGTTTTCCAGGGGATTTCCAGAGACCCAGGCTTCAAAAAACCCCTAGAAAAAGTTTGCAATTGTTTTAAAGCAAAGTTTCAGACTCACCGTAACCTAAAACCTATAAATTTGTGCTTTGAAAATATTTACGCGACGCTGAGACGTCTTCCAAAAAATCGATATCAAATTTCTAACAAAAATGCTCACAAATGTCCGACTTTTAGAAACTGAGCAATACTTTGCCGAAGGCGGCCAGCTTATATACCATTAGATGCAGTTTTTCATGCT